CCCCTTGCCTCCCCCACCGCTCCCACCTGCTCAGGCCTCCCCAGATTTTAGCTCTGGCTGCCCACTCAGCTGCCAGGGTCCCCTTCCTAGGCTGGGGGGTGGGTGTGTTCTGGGGTGGCTTTCATCTCCAAGCCCAGGTGGAGACTGCTCTGTAGAGACCCTGACCCTCGTCACTTCCTGGGCTCCCCCTATGCCCCACTCCCGAGGTGGCCTGGATGAAGGCTTCAAGTGTGTGTGAAGGGGGACGCAGGAGTTACTCTGTCCCCGTGGTCAGCTTCCGCAGAAGCCAGCCTCCCGAGAGCAGCTTGGCTGATGCCCCGCAAAGCTTGGTACTCTCTCCAGGACCCCACCAGTTGGACAGGGTGGATGGACCCCTGGGCCCCTGTTGGTGCTCAGACTGGGGGCGGGGCACACCTCTGCCCAGTCTTTGGATTTGCGCCCTTGAGGCTGGGATCAGAATGCCATTCCGGATCCCTGGGACCTCCCCGAACAGGTGATCCTGGCCCTCCCCCAGCCCCACAGAGCTGCTAATCTGTCCTGTTCTGGGCCCCTCGGGGTCTAGGGGAGGGTCAGGAGCTGGGAGTGGCTGCCCGCACTGACGGCCATTAGCCTCTGTGATCCCCGGCAACCCCAGGCCTTGGGTGGGGGCGGGGGCTTGAGCTTTCTTGTCACTGCAGCTGGAACAAAGGCCTGAGGTGTCGCCCCCCCTCCCCTCCCCTGCCACCACTCAGGCCGCCCCACCCACTGCACAACCTCCAGTGGGACCCCACAGTAGGGGAGGCTCAGAGTCCTTGGGGAGGAAGGGGTGGCCGCTCCAGAGATACCGCAGAGGACGTTGCCCAGGGCATGTGGCCTCAGGACCCATGGGTGGGAGCTTGCTCTGGGGTCTCTGAAGCCCCCATGGGCAGGCAGGGTCACCTGGCTGCAGTCCGGGAGGGTCGACGCTCCGCTTCCAGCGCGTGAGGGTCTGAAAGGGGGAATGGGCAGGATGGGGAGACAGGGGTCAGGAAGGACTGGGAATGGGGCAGGGTCAGAGGAGAGTTTTGGGGGTGAGTGGGACCAGGTGTGGGGGGCGAGGGGAGGAACTCCGGGTAGCCCAGGCTGGCAGTGAGCCCATCCTGGCCCTGAAGAAGCGGGGGAGCCCCTAGAGGCCAGGTGACAGGGGAAGGGGCTATTTCAGCAACCAAGGCTGTGCGGGAGCTGGGAGGTGACCCAAGAGTGGAGGGCCATAGGGTCCCAGGAATGAAGAGACCCCCAGGGCCTGGACTGCGACCCCTCAAGAGCCTACTGTCCGTTCTGAGGCCAGGTCCTGGTGTTAGGACTAACACAGGCCTTCAGCCGGCTCCCCGGACTCAGGGCAGGAGAGGCAGCAGCCCTACCCTTAGTAGGAGGAAGGACAACCCAAGCCTCTCTCCCGACCAGAGCACAAGCACCCAGGAGCCAACTAGGGTGATTCAGTCTCCACTGGGCTACCTGCTGCCCCGGTGCCCCTGAACGTGGTGGCTCTCCACGCTTCCTCTGGCTGTCCCGGGCAGGGCCTGTCTGTGGCTGGCGGCCATGCGCTCCCTCAGCCCCAGACAATGAAAGGCAGTGGTCTCACAAGGGGAACCAGGTCCCGGGGTCAGGTGGGGGCTGAGGGGCGCACCGGCCATCCCTGTCGGACCCTGCAGATTCTGGCCAGGAGCAGCCAGCCCCTTCCTGCCACTGCAGGACCCTGTCCTCCAGGCCAGGTGCTGGGCAGAGGGAGGCCCGCCCCTGTGAGGCAGGGTCTGTGCTGGGCCCCAGGAGGCCCACCTGGCCAGAGGCGAGGGACCTGTGTGATGTGCACACAGCTGGGAGGGATGAAGGCCGGCGGACACCAGGAGCTGTACTGGTCTAGGGCTCAACCATGAGCCTGTGAGCCCGTTGGCATGTGGTCTCCTCCAGCAGGTGTGTGTCCCGGGGCAGTCACCACACCGCCTCCCCTCCTTGTCAGTTCCTACCATGTCCCTGATCCTTCTCCACTCTTGCCGACTCTGTCCCCCAGGCTTTTAGGGGGTCTGCGGGGGCAGGGAAGGGGGTGGAGGTCTTGGCTCAGATCCAAGGGGGACAGGGCAGATGGTGGGGTAGCGCACCAGCTCCCATTCACCACAGGGCTCATGACTGGCCTCTGGGAGCCATGCTCCTCCCCAGCATGACTGTGTGAGCCCTTCCTGGTGCCCGACCACCCTAGGGCGCCCTGCCTTCTCCGGTCTCTCTCTCAGGTCCCACGTTTCTCTTTTGTATTGGAATTAGTGATGCAATATATATTTTTATATTAAATTTTAAATTTTGAGATGAGTGCAAATTTAATGCAGCTGTGACAGAGGTGCCATGCCCCTCGCCAAGGCTCCCCGGTGGTCGAGTCTTGCAAAACCACCGGATAGTATCACAAGCAGGACAGGGACATCCAAGCCAGAAGCCGGGCAGCTCCACCCGAAGAACCCAGCCCCGGCTCCCTTCCACCTCCCCACCTTGACCCCACCTTGACCGGCAGCACTGATCTGTCCTCCGCATCTAGAACCGCGACCATTCGAGAATGTCATGGAGATGGAGGTACCCAGTATGCAACCTTTAGGGATGGACTTTTCTTGCTTGGCATAATTCTCGGGAGATTCCTCCTGTTACTGGCAGGATTTCTGAAATTTCTCCCATTTTCTAGCCCTGGGACCTTGGCTAAGGAGCTCAGGCTCTATGCCCCCATCTCTTCCTCTTTTCTCAGGAACGTGAAAGGGCTGTTGCCAGGGCTCTCCACACTGGCCTTAGGATAGGCCAGGCAGGACAAGGGCCCCCCAGGAGGAGGGGTGTCCCCTGGAGGTGGTGCTGGATGCCTCATGCCCATCTGGTCCTGATGCGCTGCAAGGGTGGGCTCTGACGGCCGCTTGGACATACCCGTCTGGCTGGGAGACAGGTCAGTGGTCCTGTATCCTAAATTCCCATAAAAACCAGTCCAGTGGTCTGACTCCCCATCTCCCAAGAGCCAGAGAGCCTGAGCTCACCCCCGGTCTATAGAGCACACACGTGCAGATGGTGGGGAGCCCTCAGTGGGTGGGAGGTACAGTGCAGGGAGGGTACCCCAACCTGGAGAACGCCCGCCAGACTGGAGGGGGGCAGGCTCTACCCACATGCCCTGGGGCCACGATAAGGCGATGCCTGAGGGTCCCTCTAGGGAGGGGCTCCTGGCCTTTAGCCCCAGCGTGTGGTCTGAATGCTGACATCACAACCACAGCAACGACGCGCCATCAGCCCAGTATCTGGTTGGTTCTGTCTTGAAATTTAATGATTTAGATCGAACAATATGAAGTTTCCATTTCGGTCCCACCTGGCTGTACACTGGCACTTCCCTGTGACTCACCTGAGTGCTAAGGCTCAGGGACCCCTCCTCCAAAGAGACATGCCTAGATTTGTAGATTTTGTTACTAGGTCTTGGACATCGGTGCCCTGCTCTCCCTTGGGTCCACTCTGGAGAAACCTGGAAGCCACAGCAGGACTGTGGATGCTGGGCGGGGGTGTGGAGGTCCAGCCTCCGGCTCGGAGCCTGGCTCTGCCCTGGCATGTGGCCCCAGCAAGCTGTCTGGGCTGTCCAGCACAGTCTCCTCATTTGAGAAACGGAGACACGCACATGCCGACTCGTCCCACAGCCCCGAGGTCAGACAAGACGTCCAGGTGAAAATGGCCGGCAGGGTCCCGTTCTGCTCACCCCAGGGTCCTCAAACCTGGACCCTCTCATGAATCCTTGTCTTGGAAACCTATTCACAGAGGACAGTCGAGCCTGCTTTGAGGCAGCTAATCAGAAAGCCCACATTCACCTGACAATCACAGGCCCGGGTTCTACTTTCTAAAGACAGGAAAATTGCAACCACAATACCAGCCCTTCTGGCCCGAGATCCAAATTCTGGATATTCTACTTTTAAACAGAAATAACCCAAACCTGCAATGACTGATTGTATCCCCAAAACTGTAAATTAGACTTGAACCCCCCATGTGACAGTATTTGGAGCTGGGGTCAGCTGGGGTCCAGACGGTGGGCCTTCCGGTGGGGTTAGTGTCCCTGTAAAAAGGGACACTGGCGAGCCTGCTCTGGCTCTCTCTTGCCCTGAGGACGCAGCGAGAAGGTGGCCTCCTGTGCCGAAGATAGCAGGTCCTCACCAGCACCGGGCCCCGCGGGCACTCTGAGCTGCCGGCCTCCAGAACCGTGAGGAAGACATGCCCATGCTGCTTAAGCTCGCTTGTCTGCAGGGTTCTCACCGCGGCCCAAGGGCACCAAGGCACCTGCTCCTAAAACCCACGGCCTGAGAACACAAAGGAAAGGCGATGAAAGGGCAAGTCGGAGATTTGCTCCCTGCGTCCTGCATTGTGCCTAAGCAGACTACAGACTCCAGCAGCACCAGCAGGTGACCCAGCGCAGGTGCCGGAGTAGGAACGAGCAGCATCACACACCACTGCGCTGACAGAAGGGCTCACGGCTGTCCTGGAGCCTCTTTGACTTTTGTGATGACCACAGCACTCACTTTTCACATTTAATGGGAAAAAAGAAACCCTGATTTTCTGAAGATGTGTGAGTGGATGTGAGGCCATCAGCCAGGAGGCTGCACGTGCTTTCTGTCTCCAAAAGGACGTGCCGGCCGGCAGAGTCCGTTTTCTTAAGACAGAATGTGGGAAACCTCACGACGCTTCCGAGGCTCGGGCCCAGAGTCTAAAACAACAGATGCCTGTGTGAGAAACGCCTGCCCCTGCATGGCCGCGAGGAAGCCTTTAAAGGAAAGTCTTTTCAGAAGGAAACAACGGGACTGACTTTTTGTGTAAACTGGGAAGAGAAACGGAGAGTTTTAGAATTCTTCCACATTTAAACACACAGGCAGTAGCGAGTCTACAACTCCAGCTGTAAAAACAGATCAATCCACAAAGCCCAAGTTATGATAGAAAAGTCTTCCCTTAAATAACTTAAAAAGTACAAGACCCACACACTCGTACTTAAAATCTACACAAATTTACAGTATTTATACGTCACAGACTAACGCTGAATGACATTTACCGCGAATTTACTCTAAAGCAACGAAGACCAAGATACCATTGAAGCAGAAGAGCCGGACACACGGTTCAGTCAATGCCACGTGACCGAAGACATCAACACGGAACAGAGACGGTAACCTGACCCCACAATCTGCAGCGATTTTGATAAATGCCACTGGGCGCAACACACAGCTCAGCTGGAACATGCAAGGGCTGGAGGGTCAGTTCCCGGCAGCCAAAGCTCTCCGGGCGGGGACTTCCCAGGTGGATGGTCAGCACAGGGTGTGGGACGACACAGGATCCCCACCTCAGAACAAGTCCAGATTCTTTCTTTGGGGCCAGTGTCTGCAAGTGCCTGTGGGCTCCAGCCTCTGGCTGCTCTCCTCGCCCTTGGTAGAGGACAGCCCGGGGGGCTGCGCAAGCCACTCAAAGCCGGCCTTCCTCCCAGTCTAGGCCCATGCGGGCTGAGATCCAGGGACAGGACCTTTCTGCCTGGACCTTATGTGTTGCCCTGGCAAGACCCAGAACAAGAGTGAGGCTCCATGGTGGCCCCTGGGGTGCACAGGCCTGGGTGCCCACCGGAGCTGGGACCTAGAAGCTGTCCACTGCTGCTCGCCAAATACACCTGGCCCCCTAGGGGGCTGGGCTTATTCTGGGTGACTAGCCAGAACCGGTCAGCTGTGCCCATCTAAGGCCAGCGGGAGGGCCCCCAGTGCCTCTCGCTGCAGCGGCCACCTCCTGAGGCGTGTCCCGGCCTCCCTCCAGCGCCGTGTGACGTGTGGTCGGCTGCGGCTCAGGGGATGCCCTCCTTCCTCTGGCAGCACCGCGACGGAGGCGCCGACCAGTCGTAGACGTAGGACAGGCGCAGCTGCACCTCGCGCTTGCACAGGCGGCCCTGCCGCGCCAGCGTCTGCTGCTTCTCCAGCATGTCGTCCAGGCTCTGCTTGTGCGTCACCAGGTACTGGTTGCTGCAGCCGCGGGACTTGTACTCGGTGTCGAAGCGCGGGTCGTGCTCGCGCTGGACGTCCACCGGCGCCAGCCAGGCGCCCAGCGACACGTCCTCGCTGTGCCACGCGCGCAGGTACTCCCGGCTGAGGCGCAGGTAGTGCACCAGGTCGGCCGAGAGCACGTAGCCGCCGCCCAGCGCGTAGGGCAGGTAGTAGTCACACAGCTGCCAGGCGGCCTCGCGCCAGCGGCCCCCCGGCTTGACGCGGCCGCGGCCCGAAAAGAAGCCCCAGTAGAGGCGGCGGCGACGCGCGGGGTCGCGCGCCCGCAGCTCGGCCAGCAGCGCGTCCAGCCGCGCGAACGAGTCGTCGTCCGCCTTGAGCACGAACTCGAAGGCCACGTGCTCGTCCAGCCAGGCCAGCATGGCCAGCACCTTGGCCGTGAGGTTCTCGTACGCGTCGCGCAGCGCGGGCAGCAGCAGCAGGTCGCCGTGCCGCGCCTGCTCGCGCTCCAGGGCGCGCCGCTCCTCGGCGCCCAGGCCGCCCGTGCCCACCGCGAAGCGCGCCCACACGTCGCCCGGGCTGCCGCGCCGCGCCGCCGCCAGCCACGTGCCGCGGACCACGCTGCGCCGCTCGGCCGCCCGCGGCGCGCTGGCCACCAGCACGGCCGAAGGCGGCGGCGCGCGCGGGCTCGGCGGGCGGGGGGCTGCGGCCGGGAGGCGGGCGGGGGCCGTCGGCGGCGCAGCGGGCCAGGTAGAGCAGCCCGGCGCCGCAGAGCGCCAGGCCGCCTAGGCCCAGCGCCGTCCGGTGCCGCCACGCGCGCCGCAGCAGCTTCATGGCGCGCGCGCGCGGGAAGCGCCCCCGAGGCCCCCGAAGCCGGCGCGCAGGCCGCGTCTGACGACGGCGGAGGCGGAGGGCGGTGTGCTGCCCGTCACGGGTCCGCTCGTCACGTGGGCGCGCGTGCTCTTCGTATTGGTTGTCGGGGGGGGGGGGGGTGTCCGTGCGGCTATTTCCGCCCAGAGGAAAGATGGCGGCGCCAGCGTCGTCGCGGGGGCGTCGCGCCCGCCCAGAGCCGTTCCCGGTCCGCCTTTTCCCGGAAGAAAGATGGCCACGGCCTAGGAGCGTCCCGTCGGAGGCGTCACGGGCGCTCGGGCCCCGCTCGGCCGATCCTGGGCGAGCGGAGGGAGGCCGGTGAGTGAGGGCCCCGGGTCGGGGGCGCCGGGAGGCCTGCAGAGGCTCCCTCGGGCCGCTGGACCCTGGGCTCATGTCTTCTCTGCCCTCACCGACGGCTGCCCCCGGGAAACTGAGGCTGAGGGAGGCCGGTCGGCGGGGCAGTCGGGTGGATCCCGGTATTTACCAGCAAGGGGCCCTCGCTCGCCTTGTCCGCAAGAGGTGATCTAATTGGTAGGACTTGGGGAAAATTTGAAACCGTGCGTGGAAAGCCCCTGGCTTTCGGTTCGGCCCGTGGCCGTTACCGACGCTCTCTGCGCGACTCCTAAGAGCGGCGACAGCGCTTTCAGGCGACGCGTTTGCCTTTCGATCGGCCAGGGTTAGGGTCGCCAGCACGGACCCCACCGGGATGGCCGAGGAATGCCGCCTGCACCAAGCCGGGCCCCTGGGTGGAGCTGCTCCCTCCGCTGACGTCGCTTCTGGAGGACGGGGACTCCCCGGCCAGCCAGCCAGGCCCTGGCCTTTGCCATCCCCGTCCGGGGGGCGAGGGGGAAGGGCAGGCCGAGGGTGAGGAGCTGAGCAGCTGAGGCGCTGCGTTTGTTCGCGCTCAGAGTCTCACTTGACGTCCTGGTATCTGCGCGGGTGTTTGGGGGCTACTTTTGTGCAGAACGTCCTGTCCTAGTCCTGAAGATAAGTAAGGACTTGACTTTGTCTTTTCAGGGAGCAAAGTACAGTGTGTTTGGACATGATACGTGTTTTCACGGCCACGACCGGCAAGGGCGGTGTTAGTGTCAGGGGAGGTCATCTTGGTTTGCGCAGCACTTGCCCAGCCAGGAGAGCTGGGGCGCAGGGGCAGAGTTACGCTCCCGCGGGAAAGGAAGCCTTGCCGGTCGCAGGCTTGTACAGGTCTTGGCCTGCGGCAGGCTGCGTATCCTCCTGGGCCCACCTTAGGTGCAGTCCCACCGGCATCTCCTTCGCGCCTGTGCCCAGCATCTCCATCAGTTTAGTGGCTGCGGAGAGCCTGTGTGCTGAGTCTGCGGGACCCTCGCCGGCCACCACTTACTGGTTTCTTCCTGGCCCGTTAGATCGAGTTGTTTGGGTCTTGAGACACATCCCCTGAGTCGTTCCCATGGGTCCTGTGTTTTCGTTGTGCCTTGTTGCGGAGCACCGACGTTTTCAGGAACACACGTGTTGCGGTGTGGCACAAACCCCTGTACAGGTTCACTGGGTTGTGTGTACAGTGTGACAGCTGCTGGGACGGTGGGGTGGGGTAGCGTGTGGCGTTCCAGTACGTGAGATTCAGGGCAGTCCAAGCCCAGAGGACGTCCTGGGGTAGCCAGCAGGCTCCACACAGCTGGAAAGAGGGATGTGCGCTGCCCTCTGAGGATTGCTTTGTCTGAGGAATGAGACAGATGAGTTTGGAGAGCAAAGTCTTGTTGAAAAACCCAGATAGTGGTCAGGTTTGGAGACCAGTGCGTAAAGGTGTCAGCTGGCAGGTGAGTAATGCTGTGCAGGTTCAAGAGGAAGCACCAGATAAGCAGGGGGTGGCGTCCAGCCCGCTGGAGCCCCTGGTCCAGTGCTGTGTGCCCTCAGGCCGGGTGTGGTGGCAGTGCTGCTGCCTAGCACTGCCCTCTGCTCTGCCCGCTGTGTGGCCCTGTGCTTCCTTCCATGCCCCAGCTTGGTAGCAGGCGGCACTCTGGCCTGTGGCGAGTGTGTCCACGGCCACCACCTTTGGACCCTGGGAGCTGGTGGGCTTCCCTTTGCTGCTCCTCTCTGTGAAGACGGCCAGAGGAGGGGAGGGCCTCAGCTGCACCTGAGAGGACCGCCGGTGTTTGCCAGGCAGACAGACTATGAGAGGAACAGGTCATGGAAAGGGCGAGAAGGAGCTAGAGTTCCTTTTGGGAAGTGTGGAGCGTGAAGGTCCATGAGAAGCCAAGCAGGGACCTGGGTGGGCATCTGGGCCCTGTTCTGGCGCCAGCCAGAAGGGAATTCTAGGCCATTCCAGAAGGGAATCTGGAGGAAACTGGAAGGTGTGAGGGAAAACAGGTGGGCCTGTGTGGAAGGAGCCAGATGTGGGGGAAGGCAGGGATGGCCGAGTGCTGGGCACGAGTGCATGTGGCCTTGGGATCCGTACTGTGGTAGAGTGGACAGAAGGGTGGCATGGTTTCCTTGTTGCTGGGCCCAGGCGTACCAAGGATGACAGACTTCCTGGTACTCCTGTGTGAACGTGTGCAAGGGGGTGTGTGTATGTGCATATTTATGGGTATGTGGGTCTACACATGTAGGTGTGTGTGTCTGCGCACGTGTGGATGTGTGCATGTATATCCATGCGCACATGTGCATACGAGTGTGCGTGTGTGTGCTTGCTGAGTGTGTGTGTGTGCACGTGTGCACCTGCAGAGGTCATTGAGAAGGAAAGGTAGGAAAGGGCTGGTGCCCTGCTGGGTGGGTTTGGGCATTTGCTGGCGCCAGGCCCAGTCGTCACAAAGCCTTGGGGTGGGAGAGGCGGCTTCCTGTGTCAGGGTGGAAACAGGCAGGGAGGCCAGGTGACTTAGCCAAGGTCACAGAGCTTATAAATGCTGAGTTGGGTTTGGAGAGTGAGTTACCATGACTCTGGAGCTCGTCCCGATGCCAGGGGGGATGGAGAGAGACTGTTCTGGGAATGCCCACTGTGGGCTTTGGAAGGGGGTAGGGTTAGTGGTGCTGGGCAGCCCCTGAGGTGGGCATCTTTGGAAAAGGAAATGGTGTGTCCACTATGTATCTTGTAAACCAAGAACTTCCATCTCATGTTGTGAAGTAGACGGCTCTCTAGAGAGTACTGGCTGGCACGCCGTCGGACGGTGGCCGTGTCTTCTTCACAGACCTGCGATTGCTTGCTGGAGCCTTCTGCAGTGCCTGGGGTGGTGGGGAGGCTTGTGACCCTAGGCCTCACTTCCTCACCTGCCCCGCCCCTCTCTCCCCAGCATCTGGGCGCACTTGCAGCTCATCCCGCAGCCCGGACCCAGGGCGGCCATGGCGTGTAGGCAGGTCCCCCTCAGCGGCCTGGCTCCTCACTGCCTCTGGCTCTTGGGGGTCATCCTTCTGATGGATGTGTCTGCCCGGCCTGCCAACCACTCATCTGCTCGGGAGAGAGCTGGCAGCAAGGATGAGCGTGAGCTCCTGCCCCCGGACCACCTGAACGGGGTGAAGCTGGAGATGGACGGGCACCTCAACAAGGACTTCCATCAGGAGGTCTTCCTGGGGAAGGACACAGACGGGTTTGAGGAGGACGCGGAGCCGCGGAGGAGCAGGAGAAAGCTGATGGTCCTCTTCTCCAAGTAGGTGCCCAGGCCTGGGGGGCCGCTAGAGTCTAGCTGGCGTGTGCCAGGACCAAAGCTCACGCAGGCCGGGTGCTGGGCCTGGGCAGGGTCCACAGGTCTCAGGGGCCCATGCCTTGGGAGCCTGTCCGCCCAGCACAGGCCTGGTGGGGTCCAGGCTCCCAGGGTACTGGTCGCACGGCAGCCCAGTCATGTGCCGGGACCCAGGATTCATGGTTCTCGGTTCCAGGAAGGAGACTGACAGGAGCTCCTGAGCTCCTGGCGGACGGTGTGTAGAAGCCAGAATTTGGGCACTGGTGTCCCCGCCAGTGGGCCTCCCGGTGGGCGGGGCTGGATGACGGGCGTGCACCTGATGGTGTGTACGTAGGTGTGTTAGGTCAGGCACATACGTGCTAGTCTGCGCGCGTGTGTGTGAGCCACTGCATCCGTGGGCACCGCTAATTCACGTGTGCACACGCTTGCATCTAGATTTGCTTCTCCACCGAGCCGTCTGCGCCCGTGTGCGGAACGTGACTGTGCTCTGGCGTCCCGGCTCTGGTCCCGTTCCAAGTGTCTGGGCGTGCCGGTGTGGGCTGACGGGGCCGCCTGTTGTGAGCAAGGGCGAGGGCCGAGTGTGTCCTCCCCCTCGGCCCCCAGACTGGGGAAGCGGTGCTGGGCTGCCCTGCACAGCAAATGGCCTTCCCAGCCATCCCCGCTGTCTGCTGACAGCTCCGGCGTCACCTTTGGACAGAGTGTGTCCCTGTTCGTGACGGTGGAGCCCCGCTGGCCACCCTTTGGTCCGTCCGTCTGTCTGCCCTGTCCCGGGTTCTAGAGGCCTCGTCTGACATCGCGCCCCTGCCTGCAGGGTGGACGTGAACACGGACCGGAGGATCAGTGCCAAGGAGATGCAGCGCTGGATCATGGAGAAGACGGCGGAGCACTTCCAGGAGGCCGTTGAGGAGAGCAAGGTGCACTTCCACGCTGTGGACCCCGATGGCGACGGTACTGCCCGCCTCACCCTCGCCCGGGGGCGGGAGGCTGCTGCAGGACGGGGCGGTGTGCGCAGAGGGTAGAGGAAGTGAGGTCCTGGGCGGTGGGGCTGGGCAGGGGCCTGGGCTGGGGGCGGTCCTGGGGTCCTGGGTGGGGCCACTCCTGCCTTTGCTGTACTTGCCCATGGGGCTGGTTTATTGGCAGGGTGTGAACACAGTGGCCTCGCTGTTCCTAAAACCATGCGTGGTGGAACAGCCTAGCAGCTCGGCCTTCCCTTCTAGGCCACGTGTCGTGGGACGAGTACAAAGTGAAGTTTCTGGTGAGCAAAGGCCACAGCGAGCAGGAAGTTGCGGAGAAGATGAGGAACGGGGAGGAGCTGAAAGTCGACGAGGAGA